AGTTGGGATGTTGAGATGTTTGTGACATTCCCTTTTGATTCACGTTTGTGTGTTAGGTAAGTTTCAATTCTTCAACACATTTATAAGAATTTTGTTCTCTTACTAGTTTAAAAAAAATTAAAATCTTAAGTTTAAAATATATTATTTTATTTAATTAAAATTTAATTTAAAATTTAAAAATTTGTATTATTAAATATTGATATTTATATTTGAAAATTAATTAAAATTTTCAATTTTCAATTAAGATTTTAATTTTTAAATATAGTTTAATATTTTAATTTTTTTTAAGTCAAAACTAATACACATTAATATTTTTTATATATCAAATCTAATTAATTCATTTAGGCAAAACCATAAGTTAAGCTCCTGAACTAACCTCAAAATCGCTATTAAGCCCCTAGACTTTAATGGATGCATATAAGCCCTTGAACTCTGCTATCAAAGCAATTAAACCCTTCTTATGACGCCAACTTAATTGCCGTTTAGGACTCGCTCGCTTGCCTTAACTGCCGTTTAGGACACAGTCGCTTGGCTGCTTGGATGGCAGTTAAGCCAAGTGAGTGAGTCCCCAACGACAGTTAAGTTGGCATCAAAAGAAGGGCTTAATTGCTTTCATCGCAGAGTTCAAAGGCTTATATGCATCAATTAAAGTCTAGGGACTTAATAGTGATTCTGGGATTAGTTCAGGGGCTTAACTTATGGTTTTGCCTTCATTTAAGTACGTCGACATGGCTCGAAAAATTGAGGATGAGGAGTCCTGAAACTCCAAAAATTAAATGAATAACCACCTATCCAAGTGAAGGTGAGATAGGTTACATTGGTCTTCTAAAAAGAAAGTGGATTAAAGGGTGTGGTTAATTTCAAGAAGGTGATAAATTGAAATAGGGTTATTATTATATTTTAAATAGTTAATATTATATTTTTTTAATATAATTATTTAGTATACTTTCATATTACATTTTTTTAAAAATTTTTTATTTTTTAATAAATTAAAAAATATAATTATCAATTAAAATAAAAAAAATATGACATTTGTAATTAAATGTGTAGCATCCCGATATATACCTCACAACTTTTGTAATAAACATGGTTATTAATTAAAGAAATTGACTTTGGATCTTTATTAAAACTAGAATTAAAATATAGTAACTGATGAAATAAAAGCATGTAATTGATGATTAAAGGTTAATTCCAAAAAATCTTTAAGAACATAACTCTCCCTCACATTCAATTAAACTTCAATTCAATTTATGAGAATTGATTTTCAAATCAATGACAATTTCATGGAAACTTTCAATTTTGAGGTTTATTTAGTTCACGGAAAATAACTTGTCCTCAGAAAATATTTTTCAAGGAAATTATTTTCTTTTTTAATGAATATTTTCATTTGTTTGGATTAATTTAGAAAACTTTATGTTGAAAACATTTTTCATTGTTTGGTTCATATTTGAAATTTTCAAATATGAAGAATTTTCTTTAACGTTGACTATTGAATATGGAAAATCGTGATGAAAAATTGAACTCTTCTCAACAATGAATATGAAGAATTTTTACAAAAAAAAAAAAATTGAATTTTCCTAAAAATTGATATGTGGAAGTGTGACGAAAAAACGTGGAAAAATGCAGCCATGTGTGTGGAAAAAAAAGATGCAGCCATGTGGGTGCTGTGTTTAGGAATAAAAGGTCCTGGATTTCTTTTACCATAGGGACCATATTGAAAACTAAGGAAATTAATAGGACTTATTTACATTTTGTAAAAAAGTTGGAGGACTTAAATTTAACAAAATTTCACACGCATGACGCATGCCAATAGCCGCAATTTCGTTTGACGGAGATTTCCGGCCGAACGGTCCGCATGTGTTTGGAGAATTTAACTTCAAATTGAATTTCAGAAGTCAATTTCTAGAAA